AGTACTGTTAAGTACATATGATTGTATTTGTCATCTTTATGGGGTCGCAACCGCCGAATGTTAGTGTCAAATTGTCGTATGTTTATGGTGAGTAGTCATTTCGCAACTGAAATCGACCTATAAAACAGCAATATTTTAAAGACTTGTTGGTAGTTGTGCATAATACGCACCTCTGATTTTGCTTATTATTAAAAAAATGTGTATTATTCATGAGAAATTACAGTATATATGTAAGATAGAGAGAGAAAAGAGAATAGATGCGAGAAAGAGTGAGGGGCACAAACAGAGGGGGAGAAATAAACATTAGTATGCGTAAAGAGAGAGAGAGATACGGAGAAGGGGAGAGAGAGAGAAATGCAAGAAAAAATGTATGTGAAAGAGATAATATGTGAGAATGTACTCGTGAGTCTGTGTACGCAATTGTATGTGTGAAAGTGCGAGCATGTGTGTGATAGAGACAGTGTGCATGCGGAAGAGAGAGAAATAGAGAGAAAAAGTCGGTGTTTTGTGCAATAGAACGGGTGAGTGCCCACACGTCTGCGTACGGCGTCCTGGGCACGACGATAAACTACATCCGACGGCAAGGCATCTGATCAGGAGGTTTTGAGGAAAGTGAAACTACCTCTTAATTGCTGGTGTTACGAGATCCACCCCGACCTGGAAGAAAAATTAATACTAGCAATACTACAGCAGTGGTGAACAACAAAAAAAAAACTGTGATATCCGGAAGAGGCATGAAACAATCTACCCCGGTGGACGAAATAAAGGGTTCGCTTTGAAATTCTAATCACCTGAAGAAGATTGGAGCGTACAATTGTGAAACGTTGTGAATATGGCAATGAAGATGAGGACAACAGTCCGAATAATGTAAATAATGCAAGTAATCATAATACCTCATCTCAGAGATCCAATCACCTGAAGAATGACGTAGCGTACAACGGCCGAAACGTTGTGAATATGGCAATGAAGATGAGGATAACAGTCCGAATAATGTAAATAATGCAAGTAATCATAATACCTCATCTCAGAGATCCAATCACCTGAAGAATGACACCAACGGCCGAAAGAATGAAGATGAGGACAACAGTCCGAATAATGTAAATAATGCAAGTAATCATAATACCTCATCTCAGAGATCCAAACCTGAAGAATTAGCGTACAACGGCCGAAACGTTGTGAATATGGCAATGAAGATGAGGACAACAGTCCGAATAATGTAAATAATGCAAGTAATCATAATACCTCATCTCAGAGATCCAATCACCTGAAGAATGACGTAGCGTACAACGGCCGAAACGTTGTGAATATGGCAATGAAGATGAGGATAACAGTCCGAATAAGTAAATAATGCAAGTAATCATAATACCTCATCTCAGAGATCCAATCACCTGAAGAATGACATAGCGTACAACCGAAACGTTGTGAATATGGAATGAAGATGAGGATAACAGTCCGAATAATGTAAATAATGCAAGTAATCATAATACCTCATCTCAGAGATCCAATCACCTGAAGAATGACGTAGCGTACAACGGCCGAAACGTTGTGAATATGGCAATGAAGATGAGGATAACAGTCCGAATAATGTAAATAATGCAAGTAATGATACCTCATCTCAGAGATCCAATCACCTGAAGAATGACGTAGCGTACAACGGCCGAAACGTTGCGAATATGGCAATGAAGATGAGGACAACAGTCCGAATAATGTAAATAATGCAAGTAATCATAATACCTCATCTCAGAGATCCAATCACCTGAAGAATGACGTAGCGTACAACGGCCGAAACGTTGTGAATATGGCAATGAAGATGAGGATAACAGTCCGAATAATGTAAATAATGCAAGTAATCATAATACCTCATCTCAGAGATCCAATCACCTGAAGAATGACGTAGCGTACAACGGCCGAAACGTTGTGAATATGGCAATGAAGATAAGGATAACAGTCCGAATAATGTAAATAATGCAAGTAATCATAATACCTCATCTCAGAGATCCAATCCCTGAAGAATGAGATACAACGGCCGAAACGTTGTGAATATGGCTATGAAGATAAGGATAACAGTCCGAATAATGTAAATAATGCAAGTAATCATAATACCTCATCTCAGAGATCCAATCCCCTGAAGAATGACGTAGCGTACAACGGCCGAAACGTTGTGAATATGGCAATGAAGATGAGGATAACAGTCCGAATAATGTAAATAATGCAAGTAATCATAATACCTCATCTCAGAGATCCAATCCTGAAGAAACGTAGCGTACAACGGCCGAAACGTTGTGAATATGGCAATGAAGATGAGGATAACAGTCCGAATAATGTAAATAATGTAAGTAATCATAATACCCTCATCTCAGAGATCCAATCCTGAAGAATGACGTAGCGTACAACGGCCGAAACGTTGTGAATATGGCAATGAAGATGAGGATAACAGTCCGAATAATGTAAATAATGCAAGTAATCATAATACCTCATCTCAGAGATCCAATCCCCTGAAGAATGACGTAGCGTACAACGGCCGAAACGTTGTGAATATGGCAATGAAGATGAGGATAACAGTCCGAATAATGTAAATAATGCAAGTAATCATAATACCTCATCTCAGAGAGCCAATCACCTGAAGAATGACGGAGCGTACAACGGCCGAAACGTTGTGAATATGGCAATGAAGATGAGGATAACAGTCCGAATAATGTAAATAATGCAAGTAATCATAATACCTCATCTCAGAGATCCAATCACCTGAAGAATGACGTAGCGTACAACGGCCGAAACGTTGTGAATATGGCAATGAAGATGAATATCCGAATAATGTAAATAATGCAAGTAATCATAATACCTCATCTCAGAGATCCAATCACCTGAAGAATGAATAGCGTACAACGGCCGAAACGTTGTGAATATGGCAATGAAGATGAGGATAACAGTCCGAATAATGTAAATAAAAGTAATCATAATACCTCATCTCAGAGATCCAATCCCTGAAGAATGACGTAGCGTACAACGGCCGAAACGTTGTGAATATGGCAAATGAAGATGAGGATAACAGTCCGAATAATGTAAATAATGCAAGTAATCATAATACCTCATCTCAGAGATCCAATCACCTGAAGAATGATTTAGCGTACAACGGCCGAAACGTTGCGAATATGGCAATGAAGATGAGGACAACAGTCCGAATAATGTAAATAATGCAAGTAATCATAAACCTCATCTCAGAGATCCAATCACCTGAAGAATGACGTAGCGTACAACGGCCGAAACGTTGTGAATATGGCAATGAAGATGAGGATAACAGTCCGAATAATGTAAATAATGCAAGTAATCATAATACCTCATCTCAGAGATCCAATCACCTGAAGAATGACGTAGCGTACAACGGGAAACGTTGTGAATATGGCAATGAAGATAAGGATAACAGTCCGAATAATGTAAATAATGCAAGTAATCATAATACCTCATCTCAGAGATCCAATCCCCTGAAGAATGACGTAGCGTACAACGGCCGAAACGTTGTGAATATGGCAATGAAGATGAGGATAACAGTCCGAATAATGTAAATAATGCAAGTAATCATAATACCTCATCTCAGAGATCCAATCCCCTGAAGAATGACGTAGCGTACAACGGCCGAAACGTTGTGAATATGGCAATGAAGATGAGGATAACAGTCCGAATAATGTAAATAATGCAAGTAATCATAATACCTCATCTCAGAGATCCAATCCCTGAAGAATGACGTAGCGTACAACGGCCGAAACGTTGTGAATATGGAATGAAGATGAGGATAACAGTCCGAATAATGTAAATAATGCAAGTAATCATAAACCTCATCTCAGAGATCCAATCCCCTGAAGAATGATGTAGCGTACAACGGCCGAAACGTTGTGAATATGGCAATGAAGATGAGGACAGTCCGAATAATGTAAATAATAAAAATCATAATACCTCATCTCAGAGAGCCAATCACCTGAAGAATGACGGAGCGTACAACGGCCGAAACGTTGTGAATATGGCAATGAAGATGAGGATAACAGTCCGAATAATGTAAATAATACAAAACATACCAAATTCTACGTGCGTGAGAGATGAGTTGTGTTAATACGAAAAAGAGAGTGAAAATTGTGTGTGTATGTATCAAAGATAGAGCATGTGAAACATTGCACACTTACGTCTGTGTACTCAAGAGTGCATGCAAAACAGAGGGAGAGAAAAATTGTGCTTGTGTGAGAGAGAACGTGTATGTGTTTGCTTGCAAGTGACAGAGAGAAACGCAGGAAAAGTGTGTGTGTGTGTGAGAGAGAGGAAGCGAGGACGCATGTGTGTATACCAAGTGTGTGTATAAAAAGGAAAGTTACAGCGAGTGTGTATGCGTAAGAGAAAGAGATAAAAAGAGACTGCGTTTGTGTCAAAGCGAGCCCGTATGTGCGTATCCGCAAGTGCGTGTACAAAAGAAAGAGTGTGTGTAAATAAGAAAGTGTGTACGTGTAAGAGAAAGAGAGACAGAAAAATATAAAGGAAAAGAGAGTGGGTGTGAGAGAGAGGGGAGCGTACGACTGTGGAAAGGAAACATTTATGCGTAAGCCAAAGAGAGAAAGAGAGAGAGAGAGAGAGAAGGGAAGGGACAATGAGTGCGTGTGTGAATGCGAGCATGTTCGCGCGTACACTCAAGTGTGCAGGTAAAATAGAAAGAAAGAGATGGAACCTTGCGTGAGCGAGAGAGAAAGCGTGAGAGAATGTGAAAGACTGTGAGTGATAACAAGAAATCGAGACGGGGAGGGGGAGGGGGTGTGGATGGTGGCGGTTAGGGGAGTGTGCGGTGGAGGGGGTGCTACAAGATGTTTTATTCATACTGACGTAATCAAGAATATCTCATATTTATGGAGGGAGAACTCCGATACGGGAATCTATTCTCTTTGGTATTATCATAGACGCGAGGTTTTTATTTCTATATTCACGCTGATTTATGAGATATAACATCTCTGCAACATCAAGATATGTCATATTTCTTGTTCTGCTCCCCACCAATGCACGCCCCGCCCCCTAACTGTACACCCTCCACACATAGATTTACGAGAACAGCCTGCCAGCATCTCAGGCCCACCACACCCGTACGTATGGGCGTATAGGAAATTCTTATACTAATGTCATATTTAGTATTTTGAAAAAAAAAAAAAAAAAAAAACTTCAGTTATAGATATGTTTGCGTATATGAGGGGGTGCTGAAAAGATCTCAGCCCGACTCATTTCCTCAGATCAGTATTTGATGATTAGGTATAAAAATACAAATTTTGGAAAAGGAATTAGTCGAGGACTACCCTGCGTTGTCTCGTAATATATCTAGTTCAGGGACAAACGTCTTTGTCTTCGGGGATTTTTGGAAGAAACAGTTTTATATATGTAATATTTTTGTAGGGATTTTTTCTATTTTTGTACGGTGTAGTAATGGATAGCGGCTCGGATTTAGGAATCGGAGAGCCAAGTTCGAATTCCAGTCGAATCCATTACATTCACTTACGTGCTAATACCCTTAGTAATGGTATGAATCCTCATCTTCTTCCCCCTACCTATGGGTAAATAGCAGGACAGACCGGATTCTACAGCCTTGGATGGCAACTGATCTACCCTAGAAAGAAATGGCAACCTACTGCGGGAAAAAAGCTGCCTCGTCAGTCATGTATCGAAAGATACATGATCGCCTAAGCGTGTATCACGCATGGCACATTATGGAATCTTCTACATTTGTCTGTCACCCCCTACGGGAAGATGCACTCTTCCCCAAATAAAACATTAACTAATCATCACTTTACTTTTCCAGACTCAATCCCCTATTAGTTAAAAGGACACTAAAATATAACAAAGTTGAGTTTTTCCGCGCAGGTCTCTGGAGTCAATTTGGAAACTCGAAAATCTATAAAAAAGAATCGCGCGACTTAATTCAAGTTAGTCAGACACTGAGTTTCGAGAGATGCCAGCAGACCCCATGCGTGCCAACACACTGACTCAATAACCACTACCAACCTCTCAACAACTCAACACGCACAACTATTGCCGCGTGAAGAAACTTAACTTACAATTTACTAAAAAGTAACATTATCACTACAAAACAGTAATTGTACATGCAATCAACTTTAGCTTATCAGTTAAAGGCGAACAACTCTTCATAACTTAAATCAACACTAACAGTTGTCACACACATACACACTATCACTTGAACTTACACAATTGACTATTTTCCTTGCAGATATCAAACTATTTTAATTCCACAAACAAAGTTAAACTATTAACCTTTACTCACTAAATTTCTGTATGGACAATTTTTGTAACCTTATCTCACTTGCCACATTTAGCAAGCAACTTATCACTTTGTGTATCGCAAAATATATATATATATATATATATATATATATATATATATATATAAATTCACGTTATTGTTGAAATCTCTAATGACGATGTTTTCAGTAATTTCTTGAAGTTGAGTTGTCTATTTATTTTTGTTTGATTTATTTGTTGTGGATAAATGCATTACGATCACGCACATTCTTGGCCTTCACAAAAAATCATCTTCTGGTAAATCATACGCAGCACAGATTCCGCAACTACATAAGTGAATATTTTTGTGAATTATGAATTTTTTCCCAAAATTATTTCCTAGTTTTACCTTTATTCCTTACCTTTTTTCAGAAAGGCATCTAATGATTCTATAACATCACTAAATATTTAATATTGATGATATCAAGGACTGCTGCTGTGAAAGTTGGTTCACTGTGTTGTGCTAGACAATATTTCTCGTCATCTTTCTTACGTATTTATAAGTCTACCATTCTTCCATGCTTTGAATATTGCTGTCACATAGGGTCTGTATATTTAGAGATTCTTGATAAAAACCAAGGAAGAATCTGCAATGTTATTGTTCCTAACATGGCATCTCGGCTTCATTCATTTTTCCCACCGTTGTAATGTAGTTTCCCTGTTCCTTTTCTATAAATATTTTTATGGCAATTGTTTTGATGAGCTTTCCTTTATGATGACTAGAGTCTATGAATTTAAGTACCGGAAGTTCTATACCAGTAGCTTCTTTTCTCGCACTTCTCACTTGTGGAACTCTCTTTCGTTTTTTTTACTTTCCATTTAAGTTTGAAATGCAATGTCAACCGCTATCATAGATCTTTTTCAGTCCTGTACTTTTATTGTTTTCGGTTTTTAATGATTTCTTTTCTTTTCTTATATTTTGTCACATGCAGTAACCACTTCGGTGTCTTCGTGTCTTTATTGCCCCTAATATATATATATATATATATATATATATATATATATATATATATATATATATATATATTAATGATTTCTCTTTCTCTCTCTCTCTCTCTCTCTCTATATATATATATATATATATATATATATATATATATATATATATATATATATAAAACCTAGTGAGCCAGACAAACCTCCCAGGTTTCACCTAAGCGGATCGTCAGGGAAACGTTAGGTCTGTTTCTACGGTTGTATTGTTCTTTGGGCTTTGAACCTGTATCTGTGCGATTTTTTTCGACAGACTTTCATGTTTCTAGCTCTTTTTTTTTTTTAAAACCATTTTCACTGAGATTGATTTGATTATTGGTAAATCAAAAATTCGAAGGTTTTTCGAAACGAGTATAGTTACACACACACACACACACATATATATATATATATATATATATATATATATATATATATATATATATATATATATATATATATATTATTATTATTATTATTTCCTTAGATTTCTGTTGTATAAACATTTCCTTCCAGGTCCCAAACAGAGACCTAAGGTAAGAAATCGTTCGATGATCATTTTTGTAAAATAAAATAAAAATAAGTTCACACACATTTCGTAATGTGTGAGTTCTACTTGTGAGTACAATTCTTTTGTTTTTCTTTAAGGCATCGGCTACCAGGAATGCTCCAAGTACAACTGAAATTATTGCTGTCCTCATGTGCCACATTTGTGTGATTTCCACTTGAAGATCCTTGTATTTTAAAGTTTTAGAAGAATTCCAGAATACATTACAATTTACAACGGATAGCCATGTCAATAAGAAAGGACATTCTGTTCTTGTGTTCTTTGATCTTTGATGTCTGGGCGATTAGTTTTGATTGTTCTGTCTGTGTGGATTGTAAAGTCCCATAAAATTATTACAGGTCCTATCCTTGTAATCGGGTCTGGTTTGAGCTTATACTAGTTTCATACACACTCCTTCCTGTAAAAGTTGCATATTTTCCAGTGCAGGTATTGGGTCCCTCTATCATGCCGACCATTATTATTATTATTATTATTATTATTATTTCTTCCCTTGATATCTGTAGTGTACACATTTCTTTCCGGGTTCCGACCAGAAACCTAAGGTCATAAATGACATCATGACATTTTCCACGGAGCATTTAAAAAAAAAAAAAAAAAATCAAGCATATTTTAAATATTTCCTCATAAGGTGTGTGCTGTAATTGTGAGGAAAAAAAATTATGCATTTCTTTACGGCATGGGCTACTACTATTTTTATTATTATTATTATTATTATTATTATTATTATTATTATTATTATAAGCTGAGAGTGTTACAGATGTCCTATTATTATTATTATCATTATGATTATTCTTAGCTGTGAGTGTTACAGGTGCTATTATTATTATTATTATTATTATTATTAATTATTATTATTATAAGCTGAGTGTGCAACGCCCCATCAAAGTTACACCGGAGTACAAATTTACGGAACCCAATATACTTATCATAGATATCAACACTGTCTATCCAACTCCTTGCTAATCCGATTCACGAACCACCCACTCTAACAAATGACATAACGGCTACAAGAATTCTTCCCTCTCTATTCAAGCCGAACATTTCCGAAAATACCGCTCTTTCTTAAAAATATACCTATATAAAGATAAATGGATAAAAATTAACAATGATATAGATGGAGATAGTTTTGTTTGGTTTTGGTTTATTTTATTTTGCGGAATGTTAACGTCAATAGGTTATTTAATGCCAACAAGATTTTTAGGATAGGTTCGTATGAATAGAATATGTAGTCTTTGGTTTAGTTTGGGTTGGTTTATTTTGTTTTACGGTAAATGAACCTCAATGGGTTATTTAATGCCGACACAATTTTTATTGCTAGTAATATATTTTTTTCCCCAAAAATGTATTACTCGTAATATTTTTTCTTCAACAATCTATTTCTGGGTATATTTTTTCTTAAAAATATATTGCTGTTAATGTTTTTTCCACAAAAATGAATAGATGGTAATATTTTTCTTAAAATGGATAGCTGTTTGTATTACTGGTAATTTATATTTTCAAGTATTGCTGGTAACAAAAAATCGTTCAAAAATTGTTGCTGGTAATATTATTTTTTACAAAATATTTCTGGTATTAAAATCTATTTTTACACTTTCATCGTATTTTGGCCCAGTTTGGGGGTTAACTATTTGCCCATACTTGGGACCCTAACAGGTCCTTCCACTCCAGGTCTGAGTAGAACTGGTAACACCAGCAATTAAGAGGTGCTTCCACGCTCCTCAAAACCTTCTGTTCAGAGGCCTTGCTGCTGGACGTAGTTTATCGTCTTACCCAGGACGCGGATCTAGTTTATTATTTTACTCAGGACGTCGTAGTCGGAGAAGAAAATTTTAAGCGGTAAAAAGACAGCGAATATTGCAGCTATGAAAGATAAAGATGCCTGTCTTCATGTATTGTTTATCAGTTAGAAGACAAGATGATTAATTCGAAAAAAGTATCTCGCCATTGCTGATTAGTTTAACATCCTAATGTGTGTATCTGGCAGAAAGATTAAACGACGTTATAACTCTTTTTACACCTTTCGCCTAACATCGAGTACAGAATAATAAAACAGACTTCTGTACAATGGAAAAAAACCGATGAAAATATTCTGATGCATAAAAGGAAATGTTTTATTAATTTTGATCTGTAAATTGTTCGTGTAAACCCGATATAATTTTCCGGAAATTGTGCTTCGCAATAACTTAGTTTTATTGCCTTTTTTATTATTTATTTTTTTAATTTATTATTATTATTATTATTATTATTATTATTATTTTTGAAGGTGGCTTTCAGGGTGAAACGTAAAAAAAAAAAAAAAAATAACTATCGGTGTTCGTATGAAATAAATCTAGTCGTTTTATAGTTTTACTATGACCCTGAATAAAGTACATGTTTTATGTACTGTATTGTACAGTTAATGTTGGAGATGTTAAAAATGTGTCTTTAGGAGTTACGTTGTTCTGGTGTTCAATTTCATTTTATATTTTTTAAATTTTATATCTTGTCACTTTTTTTCTGGTGCGCAACTGGGAGAAATGGCTGAGCGGCTTAGAATTCGAAAATGGAGAACAGAGTTCGAATACCATCGAAGGTCGTTGACTGCACTTTCGCAAAAAAATGAAACAATGAAATCCATCGAGTGCGGATTAAATAGAAAGGAGCTTCTATTTCCTTGGTTTGTAAAGTCTTCATCTTTAGTTCTTTTGTATTTTCTTTCTTAAATACTCTATTCCTATCTATCTTTCTATCACATTCCGTTCATATCTATCTATCTATCTATCTATCTATCTATCTATCTCATACCTTTCTTTTTGTTATCTATCTATTTATCTATCTATCTCATTCCTTTCTTTTTGTTATCTATCTATCTATATATCTATCTATCTCATTCCTTTCCTTTTTTATCTATCTATCTATCTATCTATCTATCTATCTATCTATCTATCTATCTATCTATCTCAATACTTTCTTTTTGTTATCTATCTATCTATCTATCTATCTATCTATCTATTTCATTGCATTCATATCTATCTATCTATCTATCTATCTATCTATCTATCTATCTCATTCCTTTCCTTTTTTATCTATATCCTTCCTTTCTTTTTGTTATCTATCTATCTATCTATCTATCTATCTTCATCTTTAGTTCTTTTGTATTTTTTTTCTTAAATACTCTATTCCTATCTATCTTTCTATCACATTCCGTTCATATCTATCTATCTATCTATCTCATTCCTTTCTTTTTGTTATCGATCTATCTATATATCTATCTATCTCATTCCTTTCCTTTTTTATCTATCTATCTATCTATCTATCTATCTATCTATCTATCTATCTATCTATCTATCTATCTATCTCAATACTTTCTTTTTGTTATCTATCTATCTATTTCATTGCATTCATATCTATCTATCTATCTATCTATCTATCTATCTATCTCAATACCTTCTTTTTGTTATCTATCTATCTATCTATCTATCTATCTATCTATCTATCTATCTATCCATCTCTCTATTTCATTGCATTCATATCTATCTATCTATCTATCTATCTATCTATCTATCTATCTATCTATCTATCTCATTCCTTTCTTTTTGTTATCTATCTATCTATCTATCTAAATTCCATATTCCTTTATTTTTCTCTAATTGGATTCTTTCTTTCTGGTTTCTTTCTAATCTTTTTTTTTTCTTTTCTCTTTTTTCCCTTCGCTTTTTCATTCTTTTTTTCTTTCTTTCCGTCTTCCTTTTTATCAGTCCTTTTTTTGTTTGCTTTTCTATTAAGATTTTTTTTCTTTCTACTTTTCTTTCTTTCATCCTCAAATGCAACCAATTCTAAAAATGTAATCTTCTGTACAACAGACGCCCGTCTAAGGCGGGATTGTGTATCATCGAGCAGTTTTCGTCTTAAAAGATGACTCAGCATAAATCGTTACGACGTCACATGGTGACGGATTTATGAGTAACTTCTGTTAATTTAACTCTAATTACAAACGCTTCTCTTTCAGATCAGAATTCAGAAACATTTTTTTTTTGAGGGGGGGATTCAGAAATCGGAATTCAGAAACTTACTTCCCTTCTTTTCTTTTTTTCTTTTCTGCCAGTCATTTAAAATCTGCTTCACTTGTGTTTTTTCGCCATTTTTTTTCTGATTTTTGTTGCTTTAATTTTTACAATTTTTACAATCTATTCCTTCAATTATTCTCTTTCATTTAAAGTCATCTTTCTTTCGTTTCATCTATACTTGAAACTAGTGCCACGTCATTTATTACTCCTTACCGCATGGTCGGGTCAATGGCGAATAAAGTGGTACCCGATCAAGCTTTTCTGGTGAAGAGAATGGCTAGACAATCAGTAAGTTTAAAATCAAGACTCGCCAAATGGCGTATGTAGAGTTAGGATATCTACCACAGTGGGGTAAACTGAGTTCCATAGCTATGGATGCAGGCAGTGAGGTTTCTGGAAGGGCGGTTTTCTCGCTGGAATCAATGGCCACGTGTGTGTGTGTGATCAAGGTGAGCTTTCATTTTGGAGTACATTGGCTGATGTTTGACCTGGAGAGGGATGGATTCAGCCAGGTCTACTTACCCAAGACAAGATAAGCATAAATCTATATCTCTCCAGTTTTAAACACACATATTTATTCAGGTTCTCAGCTGCACCGTGACCCTAAGAAAATACCTTGTCATGAGACTGATGATGATGATGATGATGATGATGATGATGATGATGATGATAAATTCTTTAGAATTGGCTTCCCTCTCTCTCATAATGTCTGTCTATCTCACTTTCTACTCTCTCAGGGCTTACGGCCATACGACGCTGAATCACCGGTTCCCGTACAATCGCTGAATTTATGGAACGTCGGTAAATAAACGGGGGAGGGGTCGCTTGGGAATAGCAGGGAATGCAATCTTGGATATGTTTATGGTGTAATGGATAACGGCTCGGAATTGGCTATCGAAATCCGAGTTCAAATTTCAGTCGGGTTTTTTATATTCACTTATTCCAAAATAATCGTGGCAAAGGTATGAATCCTCCTCTTCTCACCCCTAGTGATATAAGTCTTACTAGATGTAATCTTCATTAACATCTCCTTTAATCATATCTACTTGTCTCCTATTTCCTAGCTTTAAATAACCTGCAAAGGGTTGATAAACCGTAGAAAACGAATCAATCAATCAATGAAATCTTCATATCTATCTATTGACTTGGGTTATTCTTATCTTTCTATCTCAATTTCCACATGTCTATCCGCCTTTCTGTTTGAAATCTTTTTCAACGTCTCCTTTAATCATATCTACTTGTCTCCTATTTTCTGGCTTTAAATAACCTGCAAAGGGTTGATAAGCCGTAAAACACGAATCAATCAATCAACCGATTCCTGTCTCTTTTTGGTTCTCATTCACTTTATCTCAACCCTTTACATTTCACTCTTATACTCAGTTATTTTGTCCTTTCTATCTCACTTTCATTTATTTTTTTTATTTTTTACTTTTACTTTTTCTCTCTTTCCCTCTAAGAACTTTAGGTATTCATTTCTTCCTCGTTTTCTTTTTCTAGTCCTGGGCACAATGACAAACTACATCCGGCAACAAGGCTTCTGATCGGGAAAATTTTAGGAGCGTGGAATCTCCTCTTAATTGCTGTTGTTCCTACGACCATCCTAACCCGGAGTCGTAGCACCCGTTAGGGCCCAAGCTATGGGCAAATAGTGAACAATCACCCACAAAAAAAAAAAAAAAAAAACACTACGAAAGTACAAAAATACATATTTATAGTAAAATTACCAACCGTAAGTATTTATAATAAAATAGCAAAACGACCAACAATACATTTTATCTGTAGTTGAAGTTATACAATTGCGTTCAAGATATATTTAGTTGGAGCTATAAAACTTTGTTCAAAAATATCTGAATTTCCGCATTAAATAGCCCATAAAGGTTGATATGCCGCTAAACAAAATCAACCAAACAACCAACATGAAAGAACTCTTTCCATATAATATCCTACAATTTCTTAAAGAAATCAAACTGTCACTATCTGTCTATATTTCTGAGATAAGGTATTATGTACACTATTTATATTATTTGGACTATTGTCCTCATCTTTGTCGCCATATTTATTACAACGTTTCGGCCTTTCAGTATCTGTCTATATTTCTGAGATGAGGTATTATGTACACTATTTACATTATTCGGACTATTGTCCTCATCTTTGTCGCCATATTTATAACAACGTTTTGGCAATTACTCGCCATATTTATTACAACGTTTCGCAGTGGAGAACTTGGAGAGGGGAATTAACAGAAGATAATTGATAACTGACGTCCATTAAACATGGCACATGGAACTAGAACACTCTACTCCAGTGAGCGAAATAAAGGGTTCAGTTCAACATTCCAACGACCTGAAGAAAGCCGGAGCGTACAACGTTGCCGAAACGTTGTAATAAATATGGCGACAAAGATGAGGACAATAATCCGAATAATATAAATAATGTAAATCAAATTGTATTCCAAAATATAACTTCAACAAAATTACAGCATAAAACATATGGCCTCAAATAATTATATCCGCACAAACATGTATAAACACAAAAGTTGAGTATCATTTACCATGTATTCGACTCTGAAAGTAGAATAACAGATAACATATTTTTATTATTTCAAAGCTCCCAAGAAAATGACATTTCGGCATCAAATGACCCATTAGGAGTTGATATGTCACTAAACAAACAAAATCAACAAAAATCGTCTTGTTCTATTTTTTCTTTCTCTGTGTAACTTCCTTCTCTTTCTTTAGGAATTTCATTCACTCCTTTAACATTTATATTCGTTCTTTTTCTTTTATTTTCCATTTTTAATCTTTAACATCATTGTTTTTATTTTATCAGTTTTTATATACTAGACATTTTTTCACTCATTTTATAAATCATTGATATTTTTCTTTCTTTTTCATAATTTTTCTTCCTCGTTATCACTTCAAATATTTTTTTTCAGTCGTTGCTTTCTTATTGTTTCATTCACATTCATATCTTCATTTTTCTCTTCTTCGTTTCTTCTCTCCATTTGGTTTTAATTTAAATTTAAACATTTGAAAATTATTCTTTCCTTTGCTTGAAAATCATTTGATTCATTTTTTTCTCCTTCATCTTTTTTCATTTGTTTAAAGATCAAACAGGTTTTTATTTTCTTATAGCATTCAATCAATTTCTTTTTAAGCTTTCTGTAATTCACCGTTTCACGTTGTCAGTCCGCTTCTTTACATGTCGTTTACTTTATTTTTCTTTCTTTCTTTCTTTCTTTCTTTCTTTCTTTCTTTCTTTCTTTCTTTCTTTCTTTCTTTCTTTCTACCCATATCTATCTATCTATCTATCTATCTATCTATCTATCTATCTATTATTCCGTTCATATCTTTCTTTCTTTCTTTCTTTCTTTCTTTCTTTCTACCCTATCTATCTATCTATCTATCTATCTATCTATCTATCTATCTATCTATCTATCTATCTATCTTATTCCGTTCATTTCTTTCTTTCTTTCTTTCTTTCTTTCTTTCTTTCTTTCTTTCTTTCTTTCTTTCTACCCATATCTATCTATCTATCTATCTATCTATCTATCTATCTATCTATCTATCTATCTATCTTATTCCGTTCATATCTTTCTTTCTTTCTTTCTTTCTTTCTTTCTTTCTTTCTTTCTTTCTACCCATATCTATCTATCTATCTATCTATCTATCTATCTATCTATCTATCTTATTCCGTTCATATCTTTCATTCTTTCTTTCTTTCTTTCTTTCTTTCTTTCTTTCTTTCTTTCTTTCTTTCTTTCTTTCTTTTTCTTTCTTTCTTTCTACCCATATCTATCTATCTATCTATCTATGTATCTCTCTATCTATCTATCTTATTCCGTTCATTTCTTTCTTTCTTTCTTTCTTTCTTTCTTTCTTTCTTTCTTTCTTTCTTTCTTTCTACCCGTGTCTATCTATCTATTAGTTATCTCGAATTTTCATGACGAAAAACTTGATAGTTTTGTAAAAAGAAATACAAAACTTAGAAAGCCGTCATCATCATCATCCTCATCATCATCATCATCATTTTTTCTAATAATCGAAAGCTGAAAGAATGCGAAAAGATTTGATATAAATATCAATTCTCGATTTTACAACGATTCGGAGACAATTGTGTCTGAAAATGTTGCTTGCTTTGTGCAAATATATTTTGGTGCCATAAAAATACGTAGAATTTTTAAAATCTTCCAAAATTCGTCAAATTATTGGATCTTTAATAAAACCTTTAGCATTTAAATAAAAGGGGGAAAAAGTTTAAATCAGTTCCTCTAAAAAACTTCAGAGATTTTTTGTTTTTTAATTGAATGGTTTTCATTTTTCTATCAAAAGGTGGATCATATTGAATTTCACGTTTTAAAGAGAATTCTTTGAAAAATAAATCCTCAGAGGAATATAAAATCGCAAACCAAATAAAAATTTGATACGAATGCCTTCAAGATAAATTTAAAAAAAATATGAACAAGTTTATAAGTTATAAGTATTTTACTTTAAAAAAATATTCTGTGGCTAGTGTCTGTAACAAAAAAAAAAAAAATCAAAACTTTTCTTTGATATTATCGTTGATATTTTTTTGTAATTTTCTAATTGATTTAATAATGGGTCATTTTAAAAAGTCTTTATTTATTCTTCCTAAATGTAATACAATTAAATTAAAAAAAACATATACTTTAATAAATATACAATGATTTTGGGAAATAGTTTCTGAAACTATTCTTAATTTTTTTTAAAAATATTAACCATCTGTTGATGGGAACTTATTAATTACAGATGCGCAGATTCGTAATCTTTTTTTCTTTTTTAATTGTTATCCTTCTCGTACGAACTCTTTCGTAGCTAAAACGCGCTGTTTGAAAAAACTAATAAAAGTCTATCTCCTACATTACTTTTAACAGATTTTTCGGCAGAATTTGTAGAAGAATTGACCAATATATTAGAAATTAGTATTGTAAGCAGTGCCATATTCAAAGAATTTAAGTAATTGTAATTTACATTTTAAGAAAAAAATTTTACATTTTCCTGATGATAATTACACATATCTTTATTCTTCCGAAGGTGAAGATGCCGAGGACAATACAGTATCAAGATATGTCCCAAGGATAGATTGTTTCAATAGGTATTTGTATTTTTAGATTAAACTAACATTTTAGATTGATTTCATATGCAAACCAATGAAATATTGCCCCACTTGTCTTCCATATATAACTTATTTTTCGGATTGCTCCAATACTTCACTTGTGTATGAGCTTTAAGTGTTTTTTTTTTTAATTTTGAAAACAAAATAGTTTGCTTTCTAAATTTTTCACTATGAAAATTTTATTTCTTTAAATCTATAATTATTTTCACCAACAAAAATTCTTATTTGAGACGAAAAACTAATAAACATTATTATAATACCTCCACTTTTTGGCATAAATTTTCGATACCAAAGGTTTAAAATTAAATTTTAAAAATGAAAAATCTTTCTTGAAGATTTCGTTTTAGCTTTAATTGAAAGCTTAATAATTAAATTTATTATTTCCATTAAGTAAAATATTCTGGTGTCTTTCAGATAGAAATTATATAGATTGGAATGTCAAATTTAATTTCGATTTCTTAAAATTTTCTGAAAAGCGGCCATTTTCTTAATTTCAAAAATGAATTAAAAATTACTTTAGTCTTTCGTCATAATAATAACATAAACAGTTTGACGATAAAACTTTATTTTTATTAAGTTTGTGGCGATTTTAATTACACTATGCTGTTTTCCCGCGAAAAAGCGGAGGTACCTATATAATATATTTGACTTTTTCTTACATTCTTTATAAATCAACAGCTCATGTTACAGAATGTGTTCCCGAATTAAAAAGTAATTATTGTTCTATTTAAAAAATATATCTTGATGAATATTAAAAAAAATACAGAAAATAATCAATTAACTTGCAAAAAAGTAAAATATTGTTTTGTTTTTTGTTTTGTTTTGTTTTTTCGGCTCACCATACTTACAAACGGAAGCAATTAAGTTTAAAGCTGTCAACAGGAACTTGTGTCACAAGTAATCTGACTGAATGCGTGATGTCGATGTTATAAAAATATATATTTTGAAATGTTTTAAATAAAATTTGGTAATTTCTTTGGCGTAGTTAAACCGAATAAATTTAAATTTACTATTTCCCATAAAACTGTCTTTTACCATTATTTTTATTTATTTTAAATTTATGTTTACAATATCGACTTTCTGTCAATCAAGCTATTGTAAATTTTGCAGATTCAAAGGACAGTTTTAATTTCATGGTTTTCTCATTTAACCATTATTAATTAAAAGTGCTGATTTTTTTTTTTCTTTGCAAGATGCAAGTTTAGGCACTTATGTTTAACATAAAAGTAAGAAAAATTGCAAGAACTCGCTTTTTAAATTTTTAATTAATATTCTTCGTCAAGTTATAAGATGGTCGTTAAAGAGAACATTTAGCGAGCTATCTAGCTAATATGTGTAAATCTAATTAACAAACTAATTTTACAAGTCAGGAATATATTTTTCTTAAAATTAATTAAATGTGTGTTTAAATACCTACTATTGCTAATAATACCAACTAGTAGTAGCCGTAAAAATTTTACGGTTTTTCCATTTGAATTATCTGATGAATCATAATTCTTAAATTAATTACTTAATAAGTGCCTCGCGTGTTCGACTACTATGAAATACCGATGGAAATTCCTTTATTACGTCATATATTTGAGCTGAACAAGTTTAATGGATATATTGCAGTAACAAACCTAAGTACGAATGTATGACATTATTTAAAGAAATAATTGGATAAAATTGAAACATTAAAATTGACAAGGTTTCCATTTCGCTGAAACAAACGTTGAATGCTTGTGAGTCTTATCGACTCCTCTATCTTCATTTCTTTCTTTCTTTCTCCCTATATTTCTTTCTTTCTTTCTTTCTTTCTTTTGTTTCTTTCTCCCTATATTTCTTTCTTTCTTTCTTTCTTTCTTTTGTTTCTTTCTCCCTATATTTCTTTCTTTCTTTCTTTTGTTTGTTTCTTTCTTTCTTTCTTTCTTTTGTTTCTTTCTCCCTATATTTCTTTCTTTCTTTCTTTCTTTTGTTTCTTTCTCCCTATATTTTTTCTTTCTTTCTTTCTTTCTTTCTTTCTTTCTTTCTTTCTTTCTTTCTTTCTTTTGTTTCTTTCTCCCTATATTTCTTTCTTTCTTTCTTTCTTTTGTTTCTTTCTCACTATATTTCTTTCTTTCTTTCTTTCTTTTTGTTTCTTTCTCCCTATATTTCTTTCTTTCTTTCTTTCTTTTGTTTCTTTCTCCCTATATTTCTTTCTTTCTTTCTTTCTTTTGTTTCTTTCTCCCTATATTTCTTTCTTTCTTTCTTTCTTTTGTTTCTTTCTCCCTATATTTCTTTCTTTCTTTTGTTTCTTTCTCCCTATATTTCTTTCTTTCTTTTGTTTGTTTGTTTGTTTGTTTGTTTGTTTGTTTGTTTCTTTCTTTCTTTCTTTCTTTCTTTTGTTTCTTTCTCCCTATATTTCTTTTTTCTATCTCCGTTTCTTTCTTTCTGTTTTTCTTTCTTTCTTTCTTTTTAAACCCATTAAACCAAATAGCATCCCTGAAATATATTTATCTTCCGTCTTTCTTCGCAGTCAAAACGGAATGGGCAATTTATTTATCTGCCGTAATTGCAGGACGTATTGCATATGCTAACTTACTAACTGAAGCAGAAGCAGAATTGTAAGATGATAATCGAAGATGATGAATGCAGGAAATGCTACTCGCCATTTTCAGCGGGATTCAAATATCACGATACTTTCAAAGAGTTTGCATAAATCTGAAATGCAAAGATCGCAACTCTTTAGAATAGAACCTAAATAATAGGATTAGTATTATAACAACGGAAACTTGGTCGAAGAGTAATTCTACAAACAGCAAGTAATGCTCGACTACTTATTTCCAAGCAAACCCATCTGCTACGGCCAGTAGCCAATCTTTCTTTCTTTCTTTCTTTCTTTCTTTCTTTCTTTCTTTCTTTCTTTCTTTCTTTCTCCCAATATTTCTTTTTTCTATCTCCAATTCTTTCTTTGTTTTTCTATTTCCCTTTCTTCCTTTCTATCTCCCATTCTTTCTTTCTTTCTTTCTTTCTTTCTTTTCTCTATCTTCCTTTCTATCTTCATTTGTTTCTTTCACCCTATATTTCTTTTCTCTATCTCCTTTTTCTTTCTTTCTTTCTTTCTTTCTTTCTTTCTTTCTTTCTTTCTTTCTTTCTTCTATCTCCCATTCTTTGTTTGTTTGTTTGTTTGTTTCTTTTTTTCTTTCTTTCTTTCTTTCTTTTTTCTATCTCCCTTTCTTTCTTTTTCTATCATCTTTTCTATCTTCCTTTGTGTTGAGATGTTGTGAGTTTCCCGCGTGTCGGTGTATGAATCAAGACAAACACAGTTGTAGAGGAAAATACTGGTATATTCATGAAAGCAATTAACAATAGAGTGATTAGTAGAACGAAGGTTGGTTAGTACGAAACAATATCCAAAGTCTATAGTCCAACGGTATGTAACGGGTAAGCTTATCTGGACTGCTGTCGCTGACGCTCTCCCGTCCTCTTTCTAGAGCTGACTTATATAAGAGGGACCAGTCCATTTCTAGTTAGAAGATGGGTGCGCCCCAACACTTTGTTTCTTTCTCCCTATATTTCTTTCTTTGTTTCTTTCTTCCTTTCTTTCTCTCTTTCTCCCATTCTTTCTTTCTTTGTCTAAGAGTAATTCTACAAACAGCAAGTAATAGTCGACTACTAATTTCCAATCAAACCCATCTGCTTCGGCCAGTAACCAATATCTGTTGCAGACGCCTGCTAAGGCACATTTGTGTTTCCTCAACACCTAAAGACCCGCCTCCCCACTTTTTCGTTTTTAGTAAGGTTCACCTTTTACAAGGCCCTGTTATCACTCGTTGTTCAAGGTTATGTTAGGAGACAATTTGTACGGACAGGAGGGGAAGATAACGATTAGCCCTTAGGTTAGGATTGTAGTAATAGGGGAAACATCCTTATGGGAGTCGGTTCCACGGATGAGTGCTTCGCGGGAAGAAGCTGTTCGAGTGGAACTTACTTCTCACGGATAGAATGCGGAGAGAATGTGGGTGGTTTGCTACAATGTAAGTTGCATGGAGGGTCCTAGCCATGAAGGTTAGAACTGAGGGACCCAAGTAATATAGTTCGTCCGAGCACTTTCCATGGAAGTAGCGAGAGGCTCGCCATATTCTGCCTGTGAGAGAGAGGTTGGATATTGTTTGGGTAGGATCCACCTAATTTGCATAGTGGAGTACCGACCATATAAATATGGTTGGTACCGGGAAGAGAGGGAGGAATCAAGAGATTCAACCAGAGACTCTGTCCGACTGCGACTCAGTCAACACATTCTCCAGGAACGGTCTTACCAGGAATATACAAAAGAATATATGTAAATATTAGGTACACTTTCTTGTTTCAATACATTTTGTTCTAAGTACATTTTGTGTTGCATTATTATTCCATGCATTAGTCAAGTTTCAACAGATATAGAGTTGAAAATAATTCGTCATTCCCAAGGACTCGGAGACGCTTTTGAACTTTTTGTCTATACTGGAAAGTGGGCTCTGGGCAGCTCACGCCCAAATATGACAACAGTCCTCCATTTTCGGCCTGATCTGGCTCTTAAAAAAGTAGAGGATAGCAGAGAGAGAGAGAGAGAGAGAGAGAGAGAGAGAGAGAGAGAGAGAGTAGCTTGCTAAACATTTTAACTCGCTCACAGTGATGTGCGTGTCCGTTCTAGCAAAAAGAAGAAGATTGAGGTTTCCAGAATGTGGGACCTTTCAGGGCACTATTGATCGTTATCTGTGTTTGGGGTCATCATCAAAAAGTCACCTTTCCTGACAAATCGATTATGGTATGATGCGGACCCGTGTCTCATGAACACAGAAGGCGAACAATCAGAGACCAGTTATATAGACAAAGACCGAAAACCGTCTCAAGAGTTTCGAAAAATCAAAAATCTACGGTACTTTAAACAAATTATTCCATCCAGGCCCAGAAAGCAGACTCTCCGAAAATAAAACATCAAATATTTGTCAAGATGGTGATGAAAGAACACAGCTGGATGGAGAGCTTCCTATACTGAAAATAACGATCAGCGTTCCCCGGATCGAATTAGTGGTCATCTGCCCGTGGCCAATGGTAGCATTCAAGTTGAGGGACGTCGGCTTTGGTTCAAACTGGGGGTGGATGGTCTGCACCAGGTTTGCTTTGCCTAAAACACATTGCGTATTAATGTATTAGGTTGGTGCAAAAATAATGACGTAAGAATGTCGTTTTTTGACGTTAAAAAATACGTCAAAAAAGACATTATTACGTCATTATTTTTGCACCAACCTAATATATCGATCTGGAAACTTACTGAGATATATGGAAGGAACTAGTCAGGTGCTCAGATGCGCATCGACCCTAAGACCACACCCGGTCATGGAACTGATCATGAGATGACTTTGTGCCGAAAAAAAAAACAAAAAAAACGTGGGATTAAAAAAAATTAGAAAAAAGAAACAGAAACCTTCTGAATTCATTTCCGAATTCCCTGTAGGTTACCCAGATCGATATACAACAGATGAAGGTCGGAGAACACAACAGCCGAAACCTTGTGATAACAAGAACAATGATGACGAAATCAGTTCAAATATAATTAATGTAAGTAACATAAAAATTATCTTAAAGCTTAAGCTAATATAACGGGTGTAACGGCAAAATTGTCCAAATCATGTAACATCATTGGATAATTGCCCATCACACAAAAGGTTTAATATCTAAAAAGCCACTAAACTAATTGAGTTTCTTTTTTCCAGGTTTTCAGATAAGACGTTTAGCCATCTTGACACCATTTTTTGTAAGCTTCACTAAAACCCTTTTAAGTTATAGAACTAGAAAGTGAACAGGTTAAAATCGTTTATTGACAGCGCCATTATGAGCAAGAGGAAAAAAGATTATTCAGACCTTCAGTAATGGTACGCACATTCATACTATGGCTTCCATCTTCGAAGTCCATTGAAGAACCATCAAGAGAACGGTGAATAATTTTAAAAAAGGGGGGAACTAGAAAGAAGCAGTAGAGAGGTGACAACAGGAGGAGGGATCATCATTTCAACTTAGAGCTAAATGCATTCTTATTGTTCAAAGGTGGACTTAATAGTGTCATAAAAACCTCGGAGAATTCCAGTAAGATATCTTTAATCATTTCTACGATATAACGGTTCAAAGCTTAATCTAACAATTGGACAATTTTGCTGTTACACCCAGTAGTTGTCGTGGCATTTCTACTAATCGATATTAAAGTACTTGCAAAAGTGCCAAGAGGCCTTGAGAAAAGAATTTTTGTTTTATAATATTCTTCACTAATACAATGCCCAGGAGCCGCTCAAGGTAGATGGTTACTACATAAAGTAGATGTAAGGGCTGACAAGGAAGGAGCAAGTGGTACATATTATGGGAATATGTAGGATAGATCACGGTTGACCCTGAGCTTTAAAGAGGTTAAGTTTATAGTGATCAGGGAAGCAACCTCTCAGGAGATTTTCAAAATACAACAGTTCTTATGTGGGGGTGAGGGGAGATGCTTACAAGGATGAAGCAAGAGATACATATTATGAGGATATGTAGGATATATAACGGTTGACGCTAAACTTTAATTGGTTAAGATTATTGTGATCAGTGAAGCAATCTCTCAGAAGGCATTCAAAATACAACAGATCTGGGGAATATTCTGTCTAATCAGAAGATCGTGAACTCCGAGGAGGGACTGAAATCAACCAAACGACAGGGTTACGAAAGATAGTAAGGGTCCATGAATATGACGGTGATTTGCTTTTTACGTAATTTCCGGTAAAAAAAAATCAGTTATCGGTGGTATGAAATATCTCAATGAATATCAGTGATGAGTTATTCCATGAAAAGAACAAATTATTTCGAAAGCGTTTTACACAGTTTAGCATGTTAGTCTTCTTCACAAGTTGAAGGGTTACTTTGTTTCTGGTTGATTTTTTATTTGTTTTTTTTTTATTTCTTATAAAATCTCACCAAAAAATGTTGCCTTGAATGACCACTCATCTAAATCTTGTTGCTAGTTTGACCTTTTTCTTTTCTTTTCTTTTCTTCCTCCCACCTAATTGTCGTCACCGACCTTCATGATATGATTCGTTTCCAACATGCTATCTCTGTTGGTAACACTACTATTAATTCTTCTCGAAAATGACATTGAATTTGTTGGTAACTGGGGCAAGAAATAACACGTTAATTGTAACGCCTCCCAAACGAAACTGCTCTCCATTAGAGAACAGTTTTTGCCTTTCATCCGCATAGCTGATGCTGACCACCAGAGGAGCAACTTATTACGCCTTCTCGATTCCACCTTTTCCTTGACACGAACTGGAATGATTATATTGAATCAAAATCTGCTGCCAGGAAAGACGGTTCAATATGTCGTGTTAGACAAACTTACACAATTATAAGTCTACCATTCATTCGTGCACTGGAATTAAATCCTATATACATATATACATAAGATAAACCTACTTAGGTTTCACCTAAACGGATCTTCAGGGTAATGTCGGCTCTTAGGTTTTTCTCTACTTAGTATTTTGAGCAATTTACGTAGTTGTGTTTTTACTCCTTTTGTTTTTTTTTCTTTGGACTTGAAGCTTGTTTTAATGTTCTTGGTTCTTTCTTTTTTTTTATTCTCCATTTTTCCTCAGGTACCGATTTGTTCTACTGCAAGTTAAGCGATCCGAGGTTTTTCCATCATATATATATATATATATATATATATATATATATATAAGTCCTAAAGAGCCAGAAAAACCTACCTAGGTTACTACAATCATTTAAGGAGCTTCAATCACGAAACTTATATACATAGTACCAGACTGTCCACATACATATAGAATATAAAGCAAGAAGATGGCAGTGACCCCTTTTAAAATGGGAAATATTTTTAAAAAATACCATAAATATAAAGCAGGGGACACATTTTGTCCGTTATGTATGGAGGAAAAAGTAGCAATCACCACCTACAATGAACCTAATAATTTACTAAATCAAAGATCTGAGATTCTAAATAGGTGTAAGCATAGGAAATCCTGGTTATTGGAATAGAGGCTTGTTTTTCTTGTGTATTCTTCTGACACGGGGTTTTGTGCTTATTAGTTTTTAACAATATGTACTGTTTCGCCATTTCCTTTTTAGCCAGCTTACCCTGAAAATCCATTTAGGTGGAACCAAAGAAGGTTTTCCTGGCTCTTTAGGATTTATTTTAGTTATTCCCGCTCTGCTTAGCGTATTGAGCACTCTATGTTTTAGTCTTACTACTCGCTT